ACAGAGACACTCACTGGAACACCTCAGCAAGCGAGAGTCCAAAAGTAGCAGGCTCAAACCCAGAACCTCAATGAATGGCTGATACCAAAGGAGAGACTCCCTCCTGGGCACACAGAAGGCTGGGTGACTTGGAAGGCGCTGAACAGACTGCGCTCCGGCACCACAAGATGCAGAGCCAATCTTAAGAAATGGGGCTACAAAGTGGAGTCCATGACATGCGAGTGCGGAGAAGAGCAAACCACTGACCACCTGCTGCAATGCAACCTGAGCCCTGCCACATGCACAATGGAGGACCTTCTTGTGGCAACACCAGAAGCACTCCAAGGGGACAGATACTGGTCAAAGGACATCTAATCAACTACCAAGTTTGCAAAATTTGTGGTGTTTTTTAATCTGTTTGTTTGTTTTGTTCTGTTAGGAATGCAATACAATGGTCTGGTTGCTGAACATGAGGAAGAACTTCCTGACTGTGAGAGCCGTTCAGCAGTGGAACTCTCTGCCCGGAGTGTGGGGGAGGTTCCTTCTTTGGAAGCTTTTAAGCAGAGGCTGGATGGCCATCTGTCAGGGGTGATTTGAATGCAATATTCCTGCTTCTTGGCAGAATGGGGTTGGACTGGATGGCCCACGAGGTCTCTTCCAACTCTTTGATTCTATGATTCTATGACACGATAAATAAATAAGTTGCACTTTGAACATCTTCTTGCACTTTGGATCCATGGTTGTGTCCAGAGCAACAGAAACCAGGCTTGACCTCACCTCAATGGGACACCCTTTCCAATATTTTTAAAAATATTTTCCAATATTTAAAGATGACTCTCGTGTCCCTTCTTCACTCTTTTTTTCTCCAAGGTAAACACCCCCAACTCCCTCAGGGATTTGTAGTTTCCAGACATTTCTCTGAATACTTTCCCCCTTGTACATCTTTCCTGAACGCTGCTGCCCAAAACGGACACAGTTTTCCGTGTCTGACCGACATAGAATACAGTGGGACTATGTCTTCCCTTGACTAATGACTCTTCATTCCTATCGATGCAGCTGAGAATCACATTGGCTTTTTCAGATGCCGCTTCACCTTGTTGACTCGTGTTCCGTTTGTGGTCGACAACCCAAATAGTTTCCTTGGATTGAGGTGGGAAGGAGAGAGAGAAAGAGAGAAACCTGGGTGTCTTCAGCTGGTGGTTTCCTGCAGGTATGAAATAGCTTGAAATAGTTTCATGTAGATATTGGCAGTCATGCCAGCCACATGACCTTGGAGGTGTCTATGGACAACGCTGGCTCTTCGGCTTAGAAATGGAGANAATAATAATAATACAACACACACACACCCACTCCTGGCTCACCTGCTTTGCAAACTTTTACACCTTCCACACTTGATCAAAGGGCTGAGGAAGTCACCCAAAACCAAGTGACTTCAAGAAGAAAGAAGAGCCACGTAGTCAAGGGAGAAGGGATTCATTCTAGTAAAAGCATGGGCTGAAGCGTTTCAAAGAGCAAGGAAGAACATGCCTTTCCATGGCAACGACTTCAGTGCGCCCATCCTCTGCATGTGATTGTGTCCTCCTCTCTGGGTAGGAATGGGGTGGGACTCGATGGCCCTCGGGGTCTCTTCCAATCCGGTGAGTGTAGGAAGACACAATCCAAGCCCTTCCAACCAATGGCTGTCCAACCTCTGTTTCAAAGCCTCCAGGGGTGAGTGGTGGATGTCCAGCCCAGAGATGAGCCAATGGGGGGCTGATCTGCCATAAGAGAGTGTGTATGTGAAGCTGACGGCTGCGCATGTCCATGTTGGGTTAGGCCTTCCTGTCCTCCCACGAACACCCAAATGTCTTTTCCCTGCTTGTGGTTGTTGTCAGAGCATGCCCTGGATGGGGTTGGGGTCCAAATACGGTACATCTGCCTCCTGTGTGTTATTTATTTGTTGTGTCAGGGCAACCAGTCAATTGTATTACATTTCTAACAGAACAAAACAAACAAACAAGACACAAAACTTGTAAGCTTGGTAGCTGGCTAAATGTCCTTTGACCAGTATCTGGCCACTTGGAGCACCTCTGGTGTTGCCGCAAGAAGGTCCTCCCTTGTGCATCATGTGGCAGGGCTCAGGGTGCATTGCAGCAGGTGGTCAGTGGTTGGCTCTTCTCCGCACTCGCATGTCGAGGATTCCACTTTGTGGCCCCATTTCTGAAGGTTGGCTCTGCATCTCGTGGTGCCAGAGCGCAGTCTGTTCAGCGTCTTCCACGTCGCCCAGTCGTCTGTGTGCCCAGGGGGGAGGCTCTCATTTGGTATCAGTTCTGGGTTTGGGCCTGCCACTTTTGGACTCTTGCTTGCTGAGGTGTTCCAGTGAGTGTCTCTGTAGATCTTAGAAAACTATTTCTAGATTTAAGTCGTTGGCGTGCTGGCTGATACCCAAACAGGGGATGAGCTGGAGATGTCTCTGCCTTGGTCCTTTCACTATTGGCTGCTACTTCCCGGCGGATGTCAGGTGGTGCAATACCGGCTAAGCAGTGTAATTTCTCCAGTGGTGTAGGGCCCAGACACCCTGTGATAATGCGGCATGTCTCATTAAGAGCCACATCCACTGTTTTAGCGTGGTGAGATGTGTTCCACACTGGGCATGCGTACTCAGCAGCAGAGTAGCATAGCGCAAGGGACAGATGTCTTCACTGTGTCTGGTTGTGATCCCCAGGTTGTGCCAGTCAGCTTTCGTATGATATTGTTTCTAGCACCCACTTTTGCTTGATGTTCAGGCAGTGCTTCTTGTAGGTAAGAGCACGGTCCAGAGTGACTCCCAGGTATTTGGGTGCGCTGCAATGCTCCAGTGGGATTCCTTCCCAGGTAATCCTCAGAGCTCGGGATGCTTGTCTGTTCTTGAGATGAAAAGCACATGTCTGTGTTTTAGATGGATTAGGGATCAGCTGGTTCTCCCTGTAATAGGCAGTAAGGGCACCTAGAGCTTCGGAGAGCTGTTCTACCATCTCAAAGCTCCCTGCTTGAGCGGTAATGGCACGATCATCAGCATAGATGAAACTCTCTGTCCCTTCTGGCAGTGGCTGGTCATTTGTGTAGATGTTGAACATGGACAGATGACCACCCAGCCTATGTCTGTGTTTTAGATGAATTAGGGATCAGCTGGTTTTCCCTGTAGTAGGCGGTAAGGGCACCTAGAGCTTCGGAGAGCTTCTGTGTGTTGACAGATGTGCACACACATATATAAACAAACCCCAAGGGAGGTGGGTAGATCTCAGGTGCAGAGCTAACCTGTCTCTCAAAGTTAAGTCCATCTTTGAAATTGGTGGAACAGTATGGAATACAGTTGCTATGACTGTTTCCCAAATAGCTTGTTTTATATTTGTCCCCTTCCTTGGCTCTCACTCGGATGTAAGCCTCCCTGAAATCCAGCCCGGCACAGCCCTCCCCGTCTTCAGCTGAGCCAGCAGCAAGTCTATGATTGGATCTTGGAAATGCAAGCGCTCCACTCTCTGACCCACATGGAAGACCAGGCGCTGATGGACTGGACGGCCACAGGACATTCCTCGGGCAAGAGAAATGTGGGGCAGGGTTCCAAAGGAGGCCACAGTCTGGGTCTTGCTGGCCTCTCCTTCCTTTCCTGCAGCTTGAGGTGGGACCTGGAGGGCAGGTAGCCCTCCTCAGACCTCAAAAGAGCCAGGACAGGGGGGGGCAGCCTCATATTTCCCAGCACACTTGCCCCTCAGCCTTTAAGTCGTCTCAAGGGAAACCCCACTGGGAAAGGGAACTGTGTGGGGCCCACCCTGGTCCTGGTTGAGAGCGGCCACCAGAAAGCCCTGTGCGGCACCTGAAAGCCACTAGCTCCTCATCACATGCACCCCTTTGGATGCCCGCCATGCAGTCAAGGTTCATGTATAACTCTTGTGGGAGATTCTCCTTGGCACTAAGGCATGCTTATCGCGCATGGAAAGAATGCCAGGCATGGAGGAGCTGGAAGAGCGGGCAGGAGGTGCAGCTGCCATCAAAGCCAGACCCCAGAGGGAGGGACTGCGGACGATCGTGGGGGGCAGGAGCCTCTCCTCCCATCCTCAGCCAGAGCCCACCTTGAGTGGCCTGGCTATGCAGAGACCTGCCACCTGGGACAGGTGCCCCTAGGAATATGTTAAGACTGGGAAGAGACTCTCTTTGCTTCTTCCAGCACGCTGACATTTGTCCGCTTGTCTTCCCAAGAGATTTGCAGGATTTTCCGGAGGCAGCGCTGATGGAATCGTTCCATGAGTTGCATGTGATGTCTGTAGACAGTCCACGTCTCGCAGGAATAGAACAGGGTTGGGAGGACAATAGCTTTATAAACAAGCCTCTTGGTCTCCCTACGGATGTCCCGGTCCTCAAACACTCTCTGCTTCATTCGGAAAAATGCTGCACTCGCAGAGCTCAGGCTGTGTTGTATTTCAGTCTCAGTGTTGACATCTGTAGACAGTCCATGTCTCGCAGGCGTAGAGCAGGGTTGGGAAGGGAATGGCTTTATAAACAAGCCCCTTGGTCTCCCTACGGATGTCCCGGTCCTCAAACACTCTCTGCTTCATTTGGAAAAATGCTGCACTCGCAGAGCTCAGGCGGTGTTGTATTTCGGTGTCGATGTTGACTTTGGTGGAGAGGAGGCTGCCAAGGGAGCGGAAATGGTCCACATTTTCTAACGTTACACCATTAAGTTGTATCTCTGGCATTGGAGAGGGGATGGCTGGTGACTGCTGGAAGAGCACTTTGGTTTTCTCAATGTCAGTGACAGGCCGAGCTGCTCGTATGCGTCTGCGAAGGTGTTTAGAGTGGCTTGTAGGTCTTCTTCTGAATGCGCACATACAACATTGTCATCAGCATACTGGAGTTCTATAACAAATGTTGTTGTAACCTTAGTTTTGGCTTTCAGTCTGCTGAGGTTAAACAGCTTGCCTTCTGTCCGATAGATGATTTCCACTCCGGTGAGAAGCTTCCCATCAACAAGGTGAAGTATCATAGCGATGAAGATGGAGGATAAAGTTGGGGCAAGAACGCATCATCCCTGTTTGACACCGGATTCCACCTTAAATGGGTCACTTTGGGAGCCACTGTTGCCATCTACTTTAATAGAAGCAATGTGTGCTCCTATAATTAGCCCATTGAGTCATGTGGCAGCCAACCTTTGCACTAATTGCAGTTTCTGGGCCGTCTTCAAAGGCAGCCCCACGTAGAGTGCATTGCAGTAGTCCATTTTCGATGTAACCAAGATGGGCTCTGCAGCAAAGCTGTGGTCTCGGGCAGGAGGGTGGCAGGGGCCATGGGAATGGAGGCATGCCCATGGCCAAGAGGCTCAGCTGGACTTCCTGCATGGGGAGCTGCTTTGGCACGCTTCCGGAGGGACCCACAACACAATCCAGACCAGTGGGAGCAGCAATCCATTGCATGTCCCAGAAGGCAGTCAGGTGGCTGGAGCTGCTTTGGGGACGTCCCAAAGCAGCTTCTTCTGGGGCCTCCTCCATTGAGAGCGTCTCTCTGAGATCACAAGGCCCAGTGTTGTAGAGCTAAAATTTAGGGATCTTTGCCAGGAGGCAGAGACCAATTAGACTCATCAAAGAGTTCTTTTTTCCCTGGCGAGACAGAGAAGCATCCCATATTTTTCCCTGATTTCCCAATGAAAAGTCTCACCAGTTGAAGAAAGGCCATCGAGGTTTAATGCGATTCAGCTGGAACAGATGCAAAGCTGCAATCATTCGCCAAAGCTAAGCATGAGGGGAGTACACCAATACAGTCATATTTATAGCAAATTCAAAGTTGCAGAGTTCAAACTCCCCGCCCCGGCTTCCCTGTTGTTCCCTGCCATGATTGGGCGGTGGGTGAACAGCTGGGAAGTGGCCCTCCCGCCCCTGGCAGCTCTGGACCAATCAGGAAGCTCCAGTGGTCCGTAGGATCCAATGGGGAGACCTCTGCCTCCTGGTGGCAACAGCAAATCAGGAGAGAGGGAGGCGGGATGAGGGAACACAATGGAGTCTATGAATGAGTTTTGAAAAAAAGGAAATGCCATGTGGCCTGCGAGACAAAGGAAAAGTCTCAAAACAGGGCTAGTCTATTGTCCCTTGAGTGGCATGTATGAGAAAAGACCAGATTTTTCCAGGCCAGCAAACAGGAAAACAATGAAGATAAGGCTGAAGTGATTGTTCTTTGATGAATATACAGTAAAATTTAATCAGTGCGGAGGTGAGGGCTTTCCTAAGGCCCACTGATCTCCAGATAGGGAAATGGCCAGGGGTCTGCCAGGGGGCAAACAGCATTGTTGGGCAAACCTCCGAAAACAAAGCCATCTGCCAGTCTATTTTCCATGCAAAGGAAACCGTGGATTAGGGTCTTTGGAATGTCTGGAGCTCTGCAATCCCTTGGTGGGATTTCCTCATGAGTATAGGGGAACAAAAGGTCAATAAAAAAGGGAAAAGCCTTTGCCACGAGGAAATCATGAAATATATATTATGTGTCCATAGTTCATATTATTCATAGGAAGGTCCATAAAGGGAAATATCGATGAGGGGGAAAGAGAGTCCCTTGTTTGTGAGATGGGGGACCCTCAGGAGCCCAGGTGTGCCTCAGGTGGAAAAATTCAAATACTTTTGTGGCATGATTTTCAGTAATAAATTGGTTACTTTCTGCTGTAAACATATGAAAATAGAGCATAAAGCCTTGATTAAATGATACACACCAAACTGACCAAGGCTTAACCCTTATTATCCAGCCTGGCGTCCTTGCCCTTAGCAAAACTATAAGTTACTATCTCTTGGGGGGGGGGTCATGTTCCACTTCACAAGGGTCCCTTCCTCTGTCCATCCTGCAATGGTGCAATGGCCTGGGTCCCTGGAGGGCCGGAGCAGTGCTAGAGGTCAGGCTCTTGGGCCGAGGCCAACAGAAGTGGAGCCCCCCTAATCCCCAGATGCCTGCGCTGAGTCCAGAGCCAGAAATAGACCCCGGAGGCCGGTCAAGGGGGGGGGGAGAAGGAAGGCAGGCAGGCGCCCCTTCCCCTTTCCACACCTGTTCCCGGCCTGTCACTCCAAGGGAATTAGCAGGATGGCAGGAGGGCAGCGGTCACTCAACCCAGGAGCCACGCAGCAGGTCGGCCACGCGCCCCCTCCCTCCCCTCAAAGAGCTTCAGAAGGGCTGCCCAGCCAAGCCAGTGTGTCCAGGAGGCCGACGAGGGAAGTGGCCAAAGGAGGCTCCGGTGGTCAGCGGGCCCTCTGCTGACCCTGGGCCACACCACAGGAGTGACCGATCGGGGTGGGCAGAGGGCCAGCGGTGCGCTTTCACATTCATTCCAAAGGCAGGAAGGCACAATCAAAGCACTCCTGACAGACTCTCGACATATTTCATTGACCCGCCTTGAGGCTATTCCAAAAACAGCAGCCATCTGTGTATTGTGTCGCTGTGAGTTTTGCAGGCTGTAAGGCCAATGTGTTCCAGTAGCATTCTCTCCTGACGTTTTGCCTGCATCTGTGCCCAATGGCATCTTCAGAGGTTCTGTTGGCAGTGAAGCAAGTGGTGTGTGTCTGTGTATGTGCATGTGGAGATACACACACACACAGACACACACACACACACACATATATACACACACACACATACTGGTGTGTGTGTGTGTGTGTGTGTGTATATATATATATACACACACACACACTCTATATATATATATATATATACACACATACACACACATACACATATACACATACATACACACACACTCACACACACACACACACATATATCTCACACCTATGGAATGATGTCCAGGGTGGGAGAAAGAACTCTTGTCTGTTTAAAGCAATGTTGTAATTAGCAATCTTGAATTAGCTTTTGAGTAGCTCCCCAAGCAACAGAGCCCAGGCTACCTCTATGCAAATGCTCTCACTGATTGACTTTGCAGCTGCAAGGCTACTTAATATTTTTCAAGCTTGCTAATTGCAACATCCATACTTGCTTCAAACAGACCAGGGTTCTTCCTCCCGCCCTGGTCATCATTCCACAGTGTATAATCAAGGGTTAGTAAACACTTCCCAAACATACCCTCGCTGATTGACTAGGCAGCTTTGTGGCTACTCTATGCTATTCAAGCTTGCTAATTGCAACATTCACACTTGTTTCAAACAGACAAGGGTTCTTTCACCCACCCCGGCATCAGCCCACGGAGGGTGCCTCCAGGCAACAACAGCCAGGCTACCTCTATGCAAATACCCTCACTGATTGACTTTGCAGCTGCAAGGCTACTCAATGTTTTTCAAGCTTGCTAATTGCAACATCCACACCTGCTTCAAACAGACAAGGGTTCTTCCTCCCGCCCTGGGCATCATTCCACAGTGTATAATCAGGGGTTAGTAAACACCTCCCAAACATACCCTCGCTAATTAGCAGTTTTGTGGCTACTTAATGCTATTCAATGCTTGCAAATTGGAGCATTAAACAGACAAGGGTTCCTTTCTCCCATCATGGGCATCAGTCCACAGAGGGTGCCTCCAGGCAACAACAGCCAGGCTACCTCTATGCAAATGCCCTCACTGATTGACTTTGCAGCTGCAAGGCTTCTCAGTGTTTTTCAAGCTTGCTAATTGCAACATCTACACTTGCTTCAAACAGACAAGGGTATTTCCTTAAACCCTGGACATCATTCTACAGAGGGTGCCTCCAGGCAAAAGCAGCCAGGCTACCTCTATGCAAATACCTTCATTGATTGACTCTGCAGCTGCTACTCAATGCTTTACAAGCTTGCTAATTGCAACATCTACACTTGCTTCACACACACACAAGGGTATTTCCTTCCACCCTGAACATCATTCCACAGAGGGTGCCTCCAGGCAACAAAAGCCAGGCTACCTCTATGCAAATACCTTCATTGATTGACTTTGCAGCTGCAAGGCTACCCAATGCTTTTCAAGCTTGCTAATTGCAACATCTACATTTGCTTCAAACAGACAAGGGGTTTTCCTCCCACCCTGAACATCATTCCACAGAGGGTGCCTCCAGGCAACAACAACCTGAGGCGGCCCTAGGTAATTTTCAACAGTAAGCAAACAGTATTCCCCCCCCCCCCCCCCCCCCCCCCCCCGCAACCACCAATCACTGATATATATATTTTCTGTTTGTCG